TCTGGGCCCCACACAACGCAACCCCTGCGCTGCCCGGCCGCAGCCTCCCCCCAGCCTCCTTCGGGGGCCGTTTTGCCCCGAAATCCCCTCCTCCCCATTTGCACACTTCCATTCGCCGGTCTCGGAGAGGAAATTCTTGGATCTTTCTCAGCCCTGCCAGGGCCACCATCTGCGCCCCAAAATGGCCCTTTCCCGCCCGCCTTCCAGCCCTGGGGGTGCTAGCACTGGGATCGGGACCCCCAGGACCTCCTCCTCTGGCAAGGGACCCCGCCTTCAGCACTGAAACCCACCCCTGGCCCCATGCCATCCACCCCAAAGATCAGAGAGCTGGGATGGCATTTCAGGAGGTGGCTTGGTCCCCCGCATCCCACCCAGGAACGTTTCCCTCCCTCAGCCTCACAGAAACCGCCTCGTGCCCAGCCAGCACATGCACCACAACATCACTTTTATTGAGTCTAGGTCCCTCCGCTTTCTGCATGTAGAAAATACATTTAAAAAGGCCGGTGTTTGTAAACAGTCAGAGGAGCAGTAAGGCAAACACAGCCACAGCACCTCCGTACCCCAGTGGGATCGAGGGAGCCCAGCGGCTCCTGGGGCGACAAACAAAGACATGGGACAGCACGTCTGCCTCCGCTTCAACCGTGGGACCTCATCTTCGTGAAAAGCTGGAGCCACAAAAGCCACCGGGTACCAAACCCCTCTCCATCTTTAAGGGGGATGGACACCGAAAGGCATCTCGGCGTTGGCATCTGCTGAGCCTTGAGTGTCCCGGTCCCTGCTGGACTCCATGGGAAGTGGCTCTGTGCTCCCCACATCCAGGAACAGCAGTCTGCAGAGTTGGGTGGTGTCAGGGTGGGCACCCTCTTCTTTATCCCAAGGAGTCCCCCAAGCCCCAGCGCCTGCTCTGGAGGCAGGAGCTGGGCAAAGGGGCTCGGGAGGCAGCCGGTGCCACACAGATGGGGGGCTTGCTGGAGCCTGGTTTTGTCAAAAGTTGAGTGCACAGAGGTTGGCGGTACCTTGGGGGAGGCAGGACATGTGCTTTCAGAGGGCAAAACATTCACACTGTGCTTGGGGTTCTTCTTCCCCCTTCTCCATCTGGGTCTCCCCATCTTGTCCAAGGAACAGCAGGGAGGTCCACATTTACAGGCAGCAAGCATTAGTAGGGAGAGATCAAACGTTTCCATGTTGGGGAAGCGCCCACGTGCTGTCCTCCCACCCACCGCTGCTGGACGCAGAGGGAGAGCGCCGCAGTGGGAAGCACAGAAGCACGGCATGGTTCACCTTCCCACCGTGACAGCCTGGGCTGCTTCCAGAAGATACAGAAGAAGCAAAAGCCAGGTTTTGCACAAAGCTGGGCTGGACCCTTGTCATAGATGCAACAAATACACATGAATTCCTCCCTCCCCCAGGGTTTTAGAAGCCAAATAAGGAAGAAGGGAACTCAAAGACTGAACAAGAGCAGTTTGCTGTTGAGGTTTAACTCCCCCAACCGAATCTGCAGCTGGGGGAACTGCTCAACCCAGCGCAAGCAGAAGTGAAACTATCATTCAGATAGGCGACGCAGGGACAGCCCAGAGCAACACCAGCCATGGAGAGTGTAAACAACCAAGGGAACAATATAAAACAGATTAATACTGACTGCTTTATCCCCAAAGCATCCCTTAAAACCTACATCTGGTCCAGCCCCATTCCCTGGACACCTCCTGGAAGAACAGGATTGGAAATTTGGAGAAGAGCTTTGCTGTAGCGTAGTGTCTCCAGTAGGTTGATGCAGCCATAGCACCTTCTCTAGTTAGTGAGCAACCTCTGGCAGGGGAGACATTGCACCAGTGTGTCCCTACCCCGGGCTTGTCCTGATCCTCCAAAAAAATAGTCAGGCTGAAGGCAACAGTCCCACTTTATAACAGAAAGCACAGCCCAGGCGGAGGGAAATGTAAGAGTAAGGGCCAGAGATGGGCAAGATGAGCCACGGGAAAGCAGAGTTCAAAGCAAACCAAACACTGACACAGAAGAGGACTATGAGGATGTCGCTCTGTCTGATAAACGTGATTACTGGGTTCCCTTCATGCAAGACACACTGTCTCCCTCCAATGTTGAGAGAAGGAGAAGTCTAAGCTGTGCAAAGGAGCTCCACCAGCACAGGGGGACACAGATGAGAGCAGCATGCCTTCGCAAACCCCAACCGCGACCCCTTAGTGATGTCTAAGGTAGTGATGTCTACCCTGGAGGGGCAGAAAGGGCTTGACCTGGACTACAGGTCCCCTTGTAGTGATGCTCTGGCTTCACCAAGGAGTCAGGGCTGAGAGGACAAGCCTGACTGCCTGGTGCGTTAAGACAACAAGATACAAACCACTGCAGGGCTTTCAGCCAAGGCCCAGATTACAACGCTCCTCTTGGATCTTCCCAACACGGCAATGTGTTTTCTCCCTGCTTCCCTTTGGTCCTAAAGGAAATCTGCATCCCCACAGCAGCAGCACGGTCCAGCCTGGAGGAGGAGTCAGGCTGTGAGATCCACAAAGATGGCGTTGGCAGTGGTCTGTCCAAAGATGAAGGCTCCAAGGGTGACCATGAACACCCCATAGCTGACCTGGGCCCACCAGCTGTGGATACAGGCGGACAGGGTGTGTTTAGAGGGGACCTTCCTGCCAACACCCGCAGGGGAAGCGGGGAGAGGGAAAGCACGTTTCCATTACCTGATTGCCCTGGTTTGTTGGATCTCAGAGAGCTTTGCTTGAATCAGGCAGAGCCCTGAAAGGGAGAAGAGGCAAATGAAACCCAGACAAGGACAGAGCAGACACCCTACAAGCCATGGAGCTGCACTCCCCATTACAGAGCAGAGTCCAGTCAAAATAGTTGGGCTGCCAACCAACATCAGGCCACACTTTCATCCTGGTTCCTGCATCTCCATCTCAGTCCCTCCCTCATACAGACACAAGGCTAAGAGACCTCTGCCAGCCCCTGAGCATGCCGGGATGCCCCACCTGGGAAGATGAAGATGAAGCAGGCGGCCAAGCCCCCGATGACAGAGATGACTTTGCCAATGTCAGGGATGAAGAGAGCCAGGAGGAGGGTCAGGAGGAACCAGCTGATGGTCTGGAGCAGGCGCCTCCTCCGCTCCCGAACCACGTCCTCCTCCACCGTCACTCCAGTGTAGCGGAGCCAGAGACCCTCCAAGACAGCCCTGCAGGCAAAGACCCAGGGCAGGGGGGTTTCCCCATGCTGCCCTTCCTGCCCACACCAGCCCCTGCCTCCTGCCAGCGCTCACCGGCCACAGAAGTGCAGGATGGGGTAGGATGTCAGCACGCAGAGGATGATGAAGGCCCGGGCAAGGGCAACAGGGATATCGTTGGAGGGGTAGGACAGAAGGACGTCCTGCTCCACGCCGGCTCCAAAGGTCAGGAAGCCACAGACGCCTGCCGGGAAGGGAGCGGTCAGCGGGGGACGGGGACGAGCCTCCTGCACATGCGTTTGAGGGACCAGACTTGGATGGATACGGCACAGGGCACATCGCAGTGGGGGGTTAGATGGACTCCCCTCCCTTCCCACTCTGTCTCTCTGCTGACCAGAGGGCCCCAGCCCCTCCAAGGATCATGCCACACTCACACGGCATCCCCTCGCTCACCAGTGCCTGTGTAGACGAAGAGAGCGATCACCATGGCCGCCGTCACCACCGCCCCCCAGGTCTTCACCTCCGGCTGCTTCATGCTGTTAAAGACGGGCACGCTGCTGACGTGGCACTGCCAGGGACACGGAGAGAGAGTGGGGACACGCGATGGGCTGAGCCAGAGTCACAGTGAGCCACGCGGGATCTCACACATGATATCCCTGGCTTTGTTGAGATATCGCGATCCCCCAGGTTTGTTGCTGGAGAAGAAAAGGCGGGGGACAGCCTGCCCTGGACTTCCCAGCTGGGCTAAAATTGATCTGACTCCATCCATGGGTGGTGAGATGTTAAACTGGCTTCAGCCCCTTGCCGTGCAGGGAGAACACGGGGAGGGTTTTGGCTGAACACCTAGGGGAACATCCCTGGACCACACCGGTCCCCCACTCAGGTGGCTGCAGGGCGGAAGGGGAGCGCTGGGCTCGTGCCCTTACCTGGAACCCAAAGCAGATGGTGGGCACGGCATTGAAGACGGCCGTCCAGGTGGAGGGGCTGGTGGGAGAAAAACACCCACCGGTCAGACCAGGGCTGTGCTGGCCCAGGAAATAACCAAAATCATCCCAAAACCAGACACAGCCCTAGTTGCTGGGTGAGCATGAGCACTGCACGGGGAAACTCTGGGTCTGGCTGTGTCAGAGCTAAAAGTCAGCTTTCCTCAAAACCTGTGACGGGGACCTCCAAGAGGTCTTTTTCCTCTCCTTCACCACCTGCTCCTCTGAAACGTGCAGAGATGCAGCCACCTGGGAGCTTCTGGCAGCAACACGCAGCATCCCTAGGCCCAAGTATGGGACTTGTGAAGGATTTGTCCCCAGCCTTTGCAGCCCATGCTCTCACACCCCTGCCTGGCTCTGCAGTGCTATGATGGCCACTGTCAGTCTCAGGTCTCCTGCGCTCACCTGGTGGGGATCTCCACAGGCATGAGCTCCTTGTCGGGCCAGATGTACTTGATGATAATGACTGCTGTGACATACCAGGTGCCAATCACGCTTAGGGAGCTGCAAGAGGGGACAGAAGAAAAGGAGAAGAAGAAAAGGAGCACGACAGCATGCTGCCTCCCTGCTCTGCGGAGGATAGAGCAGGGCTGGCCTGCAGACCACCCAGCCCAGGGACCCTTACTGGCTCTCCTTTCTGCTGGATGGCCAACTCCAAAGGCAGGGGACAAGGCAGTTGAAAGCAGCTCTCCCCAGTTGTTCTGGCAAGCAGAACGGAGGGACACAAGCCCCGGAGTATGACACTGTGGCCGTAGGGTGCTCAGCAGCATCTCTGCTTCCCAGATGGGGAAACGGAGGCATGGGAAGGCAGAGGAGGATATATCCAACCCCTTCGGGGCAAGTGGGCAGATGTGGTGCTAGAGCCATGGCGTTTCCACTCCTCATCCCCTGGGAACATGCTTAGATGGCTGCCTGCTGGCTCCCAGCCCTGGAGGGCTCTCTCCACCCACCTGGCGTATTTTTGGAAGCCGATCTCCTTGGGGATGGAGAGGGGCAGGATGAGGAGGAAAGCGGTGATGCTGATGGTGAACTTGCGGTCCATGTACCAGCGGCTGCTCCCAGCTTCCTCAGGCTCTGTCACCAGAGCAGCAATGACTGTGGGGACAACCGGGGCGGTCAGGTTGTCCCTGTCCTGCCAGAAGGATGGCAACTGGTTATTTGCTTCCCACCATGGGACACACTTACTCTTGTCCTCCTGGTCTCCGATGATGATGAGGAAAGCGATGCAGGTGCCAAAGGTGTAGACAGCGATGGCCACCTCACACAGCACGCCAGGCACCTTCCCACAGACGGCCCACACAACCTCCTGGTAGGTCCGCTCATTGCTGGCCTGCGAGCAGTACGCCAGGATGACCAAGCCTCCGATGATGAAGATCAACATGCACTGGGGTGGGGAAGAGACAGGGAGGGGACACTGAGGCAACAGAATGACAAGGTCCCCAAAGCCACCCAGGCAGCCACCCCCGAACACACTGAGCATCTCTGGTGTACCTCACCACATAGGGCTTCTTCCCAGGAGCCAGGTCCTCCCCGAGCCCCTTCTGGGGCTCAACATGTCCTCCCCCACATCCCCTCCCAGGGTAGGACAGGGCACTGTCCGTTCCCCACCCTCTCACCATCTGCAGCGCAATGCCCGCGGCCACGCCACCGGCCATGCTGAAGGCAGCAGGAAAGTTGAGCAGCCCAGCCCCGAGGGCAGCATTGACCACGATGAAGACAGCTCCCAAAGCTGACGTGGCCCCCAGACGGTTTCCTTGGCTCTCTCCGCTCTTCGGCACCGTCTCCACACTGGGGCTTTGCAGGAGCCTGGCCCGTTCCCCAGCATCTGCGCTCCATTCCCAATCCTTGTACTCGCTGTTGATGCTCCCGGTGCCCTGAGCCATCGTCCCTCCGAGGGTGGCACACGCCGTCATCCACGTTCCACTAGTGCTAGCGCTCCCGCACCGGGCTCAGCCGGCCACCTCGAGGAGGGTCTTTTGCCAACACTGGCTCCATCAGGCAGGGGAGAGCAGCAGCATGGGGGTCAGGCACTTCACTGCTCCTAGACAAGGATGAAGAAAGACACGGTAAGTATTAATTAAGGTACATTAACAAGGGATAACCTGGCCATCAGATCGGGGCACAGAGGAAATGAGTTCCTTGGGTCTCAGCTTGGGGGTCACAGCACGCAGGGTGTCCTCATGCCAGCAGAGATACAGCAGGAGAACTCACCTCTTGTCCCCCAAATCCAGGCTGCTGTTTGGTGGGGGACTGAGCCCCAGCCATGGGGCCGGGGAGCCACAGCCTCACAGCAGGACTCGCCTTTCTGTGGGCACGAGACCCAGCGTCACGGCTTGCTTCCTGATTTCCAACCCCAATTCCTGCAAGCTCTGCAAGAGCTGCTGCACACGTGCTCTCGGGTAAGGGTCAAGGCTTTGGCTCAACGGGAATGACCCACACATGCAGCAGAAGCACCGTGTCACCAGAAAAAGCAGGACTGGCCCCTTCCAGCACACCCCCAGGGTGACCACCAGCACTGAGATGTCTCAGAAGCTTTTGGACCCGAAGACCTGGTGTTTCCAGAATGGCAGCCCTCGAGGGCTGGACAGCCCGGATCTCACCCCAGTGCCTCCGAGCTGAAGGAGATCAACCCTCACAACCTGGCAGGGCTTTGCAGGGACCTACACAGGTCCTGTGAGAAAAAAAGAAAACTCCTTTTTTCCTAGACGACGTCTCCAGAGACTCTGACCAGCCCACCCTTCGCTTCCAGGCTACCTAAGCTTCAGTGGTTTCTGGGGAAGGGGAGAAACCCCGCAGGTCTGCGCAGAGGACGAAGGCAGGCAGCCCTCTCCCCTGGGGGTAGAAGTGCAGAGGGGAGAGGGGACGCGTCCCCGGTCCCTAAGCCGGTGGGGTCTGCTGGCTTGCGTGGGTCCGGTTCGGATGGGGAAGGGGCGGGTGCCTCTCCCGTGGCCGGAGGAGGGTGCTGCAGG